TTTTTGTTGTAAGACTATGTATTACCCTTGTGTAAAACACGTGTTACACTTTTTGTAACACTATTTTATGTCTATTCGGCCACATGTATACAAAAGAGTTAAGTTTATTGTTATCCTCTAAATGCTAGAATTATGGCTTTTTTTATTAATTAAATAAAATTGATGGATTTTCTCTACATTGATCACTCCATCTCGATGTTTTGCATGAACCAACAAATTGAATTTATATATTTCTTATTTCTCATGCTTTTCGACTACATTAAAATGGGTTTCTCATAATTTTACTAGCTGGAGCTTGTGGCTTTGGTGAGTTTGGAAAGACCGTCAACAATGGTGAAGTCACTGCTGTCTCCAAACTTTACCACAGTGGAAGTGGATGTGGAGCTTGCTTTCAGGTAAGGCAATTTATTGCAAAAAAGAAAAATAAGTCCATGCTTTATAATATCTCTTGGAGGCTACGTTTGGAGCTATTAGTGTCCAATTTTCTCCCATAAGCTCTGGGCAAAGCTACGACTTTAAAGTTGTGGGGACAAATTTCACAAAATTTGAATTGTGGGAGAAAATTGAATATTATACGAACTTTTTTAAAAATTTTGTGCAAAATCTTGGAAATTCAATAGAAAAAACTCAATAGTGTGGGGGCAGCTCATCCCACTGCCCCCATTGTAAATCCGCCCATGCATAAGCTGATGCCTAACAATCAATGACTCAATTAGGTGAAGTGCAAAATCCCGTCACATTGCAGTGAGGAGGGAGTGAAGGTCGTGGTAACAGATTATGGCGAGGGAGACAGAACAGACTTCATAATGAGCAAACGTGGCTTCGAAAAATTGGCTCATCCCGACATGGCTGCACAACTATTTGCATATGGTGTAGTTGACATTGAATACAAAAGAGTTCCATGTGATTATGGTCGCGACCTTGAGCTAAGTATCCATGAGAGTAGCAATTACCCTGACTACTTGGCCATGGTTCCTTTATTCAGTGAGGGAATTTCTGATATCACTGGTATAGACATCGGGCCGGTATATCCTCTAACAAAACCTTTCCTTTTTCTATGTCACGAGCACCAAGTTTTTTTGCCATCATTTTTTCCTATGTTTAAAAGCTAGTTAAAGTTTTGCACTTGTTAGAAATTACTTTTCTTTTGAAATTTTTTGTTAGATGCTTACCTTTTTAGACGAATTATCCTCTTTGAGTTTCGATTTGAAGTAGGTCACTACTAGGTTACATTTTCCATTCAACCAAATCAACTTACTTTTCTCGAAAAAAAGTAAGTATATGAAATTTCATTAGTACTTAAGTACATAAGTTATGTGAAGATTAAAATGTAAGTCAAACAGCCCCTATTTGATTCAAGTAAAAAACAATTAGATTAAAATCTAAATCAAAGTAAACGATTAATTTTAATCATGCATTTTATGGAACCTATAACTTTTCAACCACATATTGCATCAACTTTTTATCAAAATCCACTAAAATTCTGATTATTATCTAAACCAAAGAAGGGGCTTACCGTTAAGTTACTTATTTTGTCAAAACTAATTTCCAAAATTACTTGTTTTACTAGCAAAAGACATAATTAAATATTATTTTCCATGGTCATTGATGTTATACCCCGTTTCTGCTAATGAACAAAGGAGGGTTGCGAGGAATGGATGCCAATGCGCAGGGTGTATGGAGCAGTATTCGACATTTCAAATCCACCCGTGGGATCTTTTCGCGCTAGAGTTCACTATGCCTCCCAGGAACAAGTCAATATAGAACAGTTAACCTTTGACATCCCTAGGGATTGGAAGATTGGAGTTGCATATGACACTACATCTCAAAATAATTAAGTTTCGAGCTACCACTTCCACCTACTGTTTACCTTATGCTATATAAATATCAACTACTGGGTATGTCTAGTACTCACTTTATGTGTAACAAGTTAAAAATAAATGAGCGCGACTTGTGTTTAGTCGTGATGAAATAAAATTTCTCGAATATTTTGTTATTTAATACTACTCTCGTACAAATTTAATATTTTTTTAGCTTAGTTTATGGTACATTAATCCCAGTTTATTAACGTGTTAAGAGTCAAATTTGTTGCATGTAAGAACCTCTCCAATAGTCTTTTTTTTTTTTTAAAGAACATATCATACA